CTCCATCCCCAGTCTAATGCTACAGTCACTCTCAATGTTTCAGTCTGAGGAGAGGTCCCCTAAGGCCTTAAATAAGAGGATGTTAGGGCCGGCGTGGTGGCGCAAGTGGTTAAAGGTCCTCGCCTTGCACGCCCGGGATCCCATATGGGCGCCGGTTCTAATCCCGGCAGCCCCGCTTCCCTTCCAGCTCCCTGATTGTGGCCCGGGAAAGCAGTCAAGGACAGCCCAAAGCTCTGGGAACCTGCACCCTGTGGGAGACCCGGAAGAGGCTCCTGGCTTTGGACTGGCATAGTATCGGCCCGTTGCGCTCACTTGGGGAGTGAATCATCGGATGGAAGATCTTCCTCTCTGTCTCTCCTCTCTGTATATCCACCTTTCCAATGAAAAAATAATAAAAAAAATAAATCTTAAAAAAAAAAGAAGAGGATGTTAGAGTGGGGATTTTTTAAAAAGATTGATTCATTGTTATTGGAAAGGCAAATTTACAGAATGAAGGAGAAAGAGATCTTTTTTCCACTGGTTCACTCTCCTCCAATCATTTACCGAGTGGCAACAATGGCCAGAGCGGATCTGATCCTATCCAAAGCCAGGAGCTTCTTCCAGGTCTCCCATGCGGGTGCAGGGACCCAAGGCTTTGGGCCGTCCTCAACTGCTTCCCCAGGCCACAAGCAAGAAGCTGGATGGGAAGTGGAATAGGCAGGACACAAGCCAGCACCCACATGGAGTCCTGGCCCATTGGAGGTGAGGATTTAGCTGCTGGGTCATTGTGCTGGGCCAGTTGAGGATTTTATTAATCTTATGCATCCATTTGACTCTTGCAGAAAGTATTGTAGGATAGTCTGCCTTTGTCTTTCATTTCCTGTGTGACTTCAGGAAAATTGCTTAAGACTGAATTGCATTCAGAAGTCAGGCACCCTCGGAAAATGAAATTCTTTTGATTCTGTATCTTCTGTTGATTACATAAAATGTACTAGCATTGATACTGATTTTCATTCTGAAAGGTTATTTCAGCATTTGGAGTTTGCTTTGGGGCACATACTTACAATAATTGAAAAGGAAGTGAAAGGGCTATTATGTTTATGTGTGTGCATGTTGTAAAATTTTAAGTTTGTTTTTAATGCTTCAGGGTGCTGTATATACTTCTCCTGACCTTGGATCCTTGTAGAGCGCGTTAGCTAACTGATGTAACCCATTATGAATTAGAAACTTCTTGAGGGCACTGAAAATGCTTTTCTAATTTTGTAGTTCTTAGTTAACATTTGGAAAATGTTTGTAAGTTGTAGGGTTTTTTTTAGTAGATTTAAGAAAATGAGCATCTTGGCTCGGCACCGTGGCCTAGTAACTAAAGTCTTTGCCTTGCACGCGCTAGGATCCCATATGGGCACTAATATGGTTCTAATCCCATTGGTCCTGATTCCCGTCCAGCTCCCTGTCTGTGGCCTGGGAAAGCAGTCGAGGACAACCCAAAACCTTGGGACCCTGCACCCACATTGGAGACCCAGCAAAGGCTTCAGGCTCCTGGCTTTGGATTAACTCAGCTCAGCTCTGGCTGTTGTGGCCACTTGGGGAGTGAATTGTTGGATAGAAGATCTTCCTCTCTGTCTCTTCTCTCTGTATGTCTGACTTGCCAATAAAAATAAATCTAAAAAAGAAAAAAAAAAAAAGAAGAAAAGAGGCATCTCTTGATGAAAGCCTAAACTTTATTTAACAGATTTAAATAGCAAATGTAAGAATATTTTTGTTAAGCAGTTCAACATAATGTATTTTTTCTTTATTAAATTTATTTATTTTTAAAGAGTTAGTTATTTTTATTTGAAAGAGTTACAGACAAAGAGATCTTTCATCCTCTCCTTTACTCCCCAGAGAGCCATCCCAGCCAGAGCTGGACTGATCTGCAGCCAAGAGCTAGGGACTTCTCGTCTCCAGTGAGGGTGCAGGGGCCGGGGCAGTTGGGCCATGTGTCATTACTTTACCAAGCGTGCTAGCTGAGCGCTAGATTGGACGTGGAGCAGCCACGACTAGAACCGACGCCCCATGTGGGACATCAGCACTCCGTGTCATGACAGAGCGCCAACCCCAGCACCTTTTTTTTTTTACATTTGATTCTTGGAATTCCCAGGTGAATATATGTTCCAAGTATTATTGCACTTTTACTGATGAAGAAACCAAGGCTGAAAGCAATGCACCAAGAAGGGGACATCAAAACCCAGCTTTGTCCTGTCAGGGCCATCCACTTAGGTGCTGTGTCACAAAACCCTTTAAAATAGATGTTTTATGAGATAATATATACTACAAAGAATATAGGAGTTTTCTAAATTGAAATCTTTAATGTTGATTAGACACACTGTGTGCCATTTCCATTTTTTCTTACAATAGATGATGGGGTTAATGGGTTTGGGTTTACATTTGTGCTATTATGTCTTCTTCGGGTGTTAATTTGAAAAAGTAATAAAGTAAATATAGTTTTTAGCTGTGCAGGATCTTCTCATAATGTTAATGTTTACTTGCAAAAGCCTTACGTTTTGTGCTATGACGTGCTTTCAAACCTGATTAAAAACGGGAAACACGAAGTGCAATGCCTCTAGTCCAGTTAGAGTTAACACTGCCCTAAGCTTAAAGCCTCCTTATTTCAACTGAAAGGTGTTTGTACATTATTTCAGTTTGCAGTTACTCCGTAAGGTACACATGCTTTAGTTTATATAACTGTATGTGCTTGGTCTAGGCAATTTGAAAATATGGCTTTCAGATTGTGTTTTAAATAATATGTGAAGTTTAGCAGCACACTTCTTGTCCTACCTACCATGTTGGGTGCACTTTTACAGTTTGATAAAGAGGAGGAATGTTCCTGCTTTATAAACATATCCAAGCCGTTTCTCTCCAGCTCTGCCTGACCATGGCAGTTTGGTTATAAGCCAGAATTGCTTTAAGCGCAAATTACAAATATTTTGGCTTCCCTTGAGCGGTTCTTCTGTGCCACAGCGTGTTCAACAGAATTCTGACTATTTTGATTGTGCAGTGAAGAGTTCTTATGATGAATGAATGGTCTAGATTCATTTATCAAACTTCTTCCAAAAGATTAGGTAGCAAACTATATGAAAGAACTCTAGTGCTTGTCTTAAAATGAGGCATAGCAAGATCTCTGTTCACATTGTCAGAAATCGCAGCCTGAACGTAAAGTTGCTCAATGTGACATTTGTTCATATATTTTACCCTCATCTACGAGGGACTTGGGTAATGAAGTGTAGATTTGACAGTCGTCTGCCAGTTGGAGAAGTTCCAAAAACAAGAAGGCATTTGTACATGTGCAGATGTCGGCAGCGCTCCCTCTTCTCCTGTTGTCAAAGACCGTTTTATTTTCACAAAGAAATGTTTGTGTCTGTTCTCCAATATGGCAAGTGACTAATCCACCAAGAGTGGAGGCGGCTTCTTTTCCTTAGCGTTTTACATGGCAAAATTATGTAATCCTACATGTTTAGTTTTACTGTTTTGATTTTGTATGTGTGTGAAGGGCTTATTACATGAATACTTTTGGGAAAACGTTAAGTCTTTTCTGGTAATATATCACACATTTCAAGAGTGTGAAATTTGAGGTTGGATGGAAAAGTTGAAAGTAGTGTGTAAGAGTTCTTGTCATGGGTGTCGGACCAGAGCGTTCTCAGCTGTGAGATTAAAACATTAAGGACTTAACTGTAATTCCTAAAGAATCACATGTTCTCCCCTGACTAAAATAGCATCAGTGAATTTACTGTGTTTAGGGATCCAAGATGTCTGAATTTTTTTATTTATATGATTACTGTTTTATGACAGAATGGCAGATAGGTGAAAAATGTTCTGCACATCAGTACAGTTGTACATTGAAGCTGACAGACAGGGAGCAAAAATGAAAACAGTTTAGTTTTAGAAGCATTTTAAAGGGAATGACAATTTTCATATCAGCGTATTAATGTGGGCTTGTTTATTTATTTATTTTTAGATTTGTTTACTGGAAAGGCAAAATGATAAGGTGCAAAGAGAAAAGAGAGTTCCTTTGCCTGATAATTCACTCCTCAAATTGGCAGATCAGCCAGGACTGGGGCAGGCTGTAGCCAGTCCTTCGTATGTTGCAGGGGCCCACATTCTTGGACCATCTTTCATTGCTTTCCTAGGCTCATTAACAAGTCCCTCCGTTGGAAATACAGCCAGGCTTCCAGTAGGAGGCCCTGTGGGGTGCTGGCATCCCAACTGTGGCTTAACTCAGCGTACCTCCTGTCCCTGTAGTTGCACATTTTAGTGATAACAAGAATTAAGTAAAACCTATCATCTTAACCAAAAACTTTGTTTCTAGTCATAGAATATTTTCATTTTGATGTAATATAATTTTTTTCTAGTCATTATAAAAATCAAGACAAGTTGAATGAAATAATTGTGAAGTTGAGCCAAGATGAATGGAGCAAAGTAGCAGGGAAAGAACAAAACCAACCCAGGACCAGAGTTTATTAGTTTGTTCCTTCCCCAGCCTTTGGAAACCTCCACCAACAATAGTCTACCTGTGCTATACCTTTGCTGGTTTCTTGACTGAGTAAGGCTCCTACTAAATGCTCGCTAGGCCCAGCAGCAGGCTGACCAGGCTTGCAATGGTTCTGTCTGCTCTGCTCAAGGAAAAGCCCCTAGCTATACAGATGCTGCTCGTTCTATTGTTTCTGCAGCCGTGCCTGGTAAGTAAGTGCCAGTGTTTGAGAGAAACACATCCTTCTTGTATTAATCAGTTTGGCTTTGAGATTTTGATAAGCAGGACTTGCCAAATCCTGTTTTATCGGCTTTAAAATGTAAGGTCCTTCATTTGTATTTTTTCAGGTTCTTAATAATGGTATGCATTAAAAAAGAAGTAAAGTTTATAATTATCTGTTGAATATAATGGGCAAGTTCTCATTCTGGTAACAGTTTCTGTTGAAAGGATCTGGGGCCAGACCTGGGCTATCTTAATACGAATCTCTTATAATATAAAGATAATTCTCTTTTAGAGTTTTCCATCTGATGAAGGTTGGCCATTTGCAAAGTATCTTGGAGCTTGCGGAAGAATGGTGGCTGTGAATTATGTTGGAGAAGAATTGTGGAGTTACTTTAATGCACCATGGGAAAAAAGAGTTGATCTTGCTTGGCAGCTAATGGAAATAGCAGAGCAGCTCACAAACAATGACTTTGAATTTGCACTCTACCTCCTGGACGTCAGCTTTGACAATTTTGCAGTTGGTCCTAGAGACGGGAAGGTCATCATCGTGGATGCCGAAAATGTTTTGGTTGCTGACAAAAGATTAATTAGACAAAGTAAGTATGCAACTTTTGGAATATTTTTATACGTGCTCTTTGCATCTCTATAAAGCAAGCCTTAAATTTCCTTCTTAGGTGGCATAGTTGCTTATTTCTTTGTGTTATGCAAGTACTGTCAGTGAGCTATTCATATTCACATTTAGTAAAATGTCCTGAGTTCCGATGGACACAGAGGGACCGTGTATATACACATGTTTTTGGCATTGTGGGTGCTGTGTTCTGTGCTTCGGGCATCTCCTGCGGAGTTCACATTGTATCCCAGGCTGCCACAGCCACGGCCCTGCTTCCATGACGACGCTAGTTGGCTGTGAATCTCCCACAGCCGTGTGGTGTTTCCTGTTCTGTGGGTTCTGTGCTCGTTTTGTTTTGAACTGTTTGCATCATTCCTAGCACTGCAGCTTTGAATTTGGTCTGATTGTCATGTCTTAACCCAAAACTTTGCTATTCCCTTGTGAGTTCTTCACAAGAGAGGTTGGTACAGTCTGAAATGTTTTGAAAATCTCAGTGTCTCTGCAGAAAAGGAAGGGAAAGGTAGTGAGTGCCCTGTGGTGAGGTTTTACATTTATAATCCCACTTTTTTTTTTAACCAACTTAAGGCGTGTAAGGGTCTTCTGAAGAATGGCTGTTGCAGGTTACTAGCCCTTGGCGGGCACCCTTGAGGGGTCCACAGCGTGGTAGATTGTTCACGCGATCTCAGCATCCTCCTGGTGAGAAGTTGGGCTCTTTTGCTGTACTCACCAAACGACCTTCTGGTTGTTTCTTGTGGTGTAGGTCCTTCCACAGGGAGTGACTGCCCTGACATGGGTCCCCTGCCTCACCTCTTCTCCCTGCCTCTGTGGATGGTAACAGCATTTTACACTGCGCTTTTCTTTTTTAAAGTGTGCGCTGTGTTTTGAATCTATTCAGAGAGCTGTATAATTTGACAGTGCTTAAATTTCATTCTAGCGTTTTGTTTTGTTTTTATAATTCAGGCATCTGTTCCTGGAAGAAGTGTTATCATTTTATGTCAGCTAATCCGTGACTTGGGGAAGAAAAACGCAGCCATTTAGTCACTGTGTTTGTAGATCTTGCACAGGGAACCGCTGTCCCCGTGCTGCTGCCTCTGGCCAGGTCAGGACCGTCTTGATGGCCCTTTGGCCAAAGGCCCTGTCTGTACGTTTACTTGGCTCACTTTCCACTTTCTAACACAGGAGCTTTGTGCTTTTTCTCACAAGGAAATTGAGATTTTGCTGTGGCCAAGCTTTCTGTGCTTCACTTTACCATCTGTACCTGTTAAAACAACATACACCATCTCCTTATCAGACTGGAGACCCTCCGTTCTCCAAGTTCTCACCTAACTTAATATCCAGTTTGTCTTACTTTGTCACAATCAAATATGTATAAAAAACGCATTCCTGGGCCCGGCGCGGTGGCGCAAGTGGTTAAAGGTCCTCGCCTTGCACGCCCGGGATCCCATATGGGCGCCGGTTCTAATCCCGGCAGCCCCGCTTCCCTTCCAGCTCCCTGCCTGTGGCCTGGGAAAGCAGTCCAGGACGGCCCAAAGCTTTGGGAACCTGCACCCACGTGGGAGACCCGGAAGAGCCTCCTGGCTTCGGATCGGCATAGTATCGGCCCGTTGCGCTCACTTGGGGAGTGAATCATCGGATGGAAGATCTTCCTCTCTGTCTCTCCTCTCTGTATATCCGCCTTTCCAATGAAAAAATAATAAAAATAAATCTTTTAAAAAAAAAAATAAATAAATAAAAAACGCATTCCTGCATCTCCTTGGTTTTCGTCTGGTTTAGGCAGAATGCTTATTTGCTGTCCTAGCAGCCTGAGCCTGCCTTCTCCTTTAGCTTCTCTCTGTACTGGAATGGTAACTTTTAAAACAAAAAAAATCAATGTGATTTTTAAAAAGGGTACATTGATTCGAAGGCAGAATCAGAGATGACCTGTCACTTGCTCAGTGTGTTTAATCTCATGGTTCTTCAGGTAAAATCCAGACACTTGTCCAGGAGTGGCTCAGCCTTTCTCTGCTTCAGTGGAATCTCTTTGCCCACTGCCTGGACACTTCTGCAGTGAACTTCCCTACTTCTGGGCTTTCCCTTACGGACTTTCCTCTCTGCTTAAAATGCCCCCTTTGTCTCCTGTCTGCAGTTTGCTGTGTATCTTGCAAGCCTTGGCATCGTCCAGCACTTGTAAGCTGGTTTGTTGTAGGTGTATGTGGTCTGCCTCTGAACTCAAAGTCATATGGATCAAGTTTAGTTCTGCTAGAATGTATGCCATACTCATCCAAATACATTGTAACTGGTTTTTTCTTTTTTAATTTAAAGTATTTACACTTTGTGAAAACCGTAAACTTCACGCATACAGTTACTTTTTATCTCAAATGTTTCCCGATTTCAACCTGGATTTCCTTTGCTGGGCCTTCTTCTGTCATCATCCTCAGTTGTAGTCTTCAACCTAGGATTGTCTTTGTAAAATCATGATCAGAATCACACAAGTGAGAGCCTTTTTCTCTGGCTCTGTCAGCTCCTGTTCTGCAGGCGCCTGTCTCCCACGCCGGCCACCGTGAACTTGGCATTCTCTGGAGGTTAGCCTTGGCGTGTGCTGGTCGGCAGGCTCAGGCTTCCATTTTCCACGGCTGCTTTTCAGACTTCTATTTTGATACCTACATCACATTTAGCTCCTTTCTGCAGCCCTGGGCAAAAGTTCTGCTTTCTTCTCTGCTCTTGAACTTGTGCATACACCTGGGTAGGGTAGAAAGTGGCTTTTCTGAACCTGGTCTGACATCTGTGGGCTTCCAGCAGTGTTTGTGTGGATTAAATGCTCTTAACTATTTAACGTTGTAATACACCTTCATAATACAGGATACACTGTGAATTAATGAGTTGGCGCACTTTGAGGACTCTCTTTTAAAACGTATTTCTTTTCTTTCTGCTTTTCCCTCTTTCGCAGATAAACCTGAAAATTGGGATGTGTGGTATGAGAGCAAGTTTGATGACTGTGATAAAGAAGCTTGCCTCTCATTTTCAAAAGAAATCCTCTGTGCTCGCGCCACTGTGGACCACAACTACTATGCTGTCTGTCAGAACCTGCTCTCCAGACATGCCACCTGGCGTGGCACTTCTGGAGGGCTCCTTCATGACCCACCAAGCGAAATTGCCAAAGATGGCCGGCTCGAGGCCTTGCTGGATGAGTGTGCCAACCCAAAGAAGCGCTACGGCCGATTCCAGGCTGCGAAGGAACTGCGTGAATATTTAGCACAACTGAGCAACAACGTGAGGTAGTCCATGGCGAACCCCCGTTTCTCCATTTACATAGCACTGGCTAAAACTCAACCACCAAAAACTGTCTGGAAACACAGGATTTGGAAGTGTTACATCCCGAGGATCATAGACTTGCACTGATTTCACGTTGGCATCCATCACAACGCGATGTTACTGTTCTTCAGCAATCCTATGATGCTTTTGCAATTAAGTATGTTCTACTTCGGAGACTCGAGGTATCGTGGACTGCGTTGCTGCCCTGTCCCCTGACGCCCGAGTGGATTGATGAGTGTTGTGATGCTATTGGAAATGAGTCTGATAGTTAAATTGGCTTGTGTATCAAAGGGTACTTGGTACTTAGTTCTCGTTACTATCATGATTTTGTGAATCTCTTGCATTTACTTTTGAATATCAAGTTGGATTGGCCTGTTTTATAGGCCACCTTTCCCTTCCGCTGTGTAGGCTTTTGTTTTGTTTTGTTTTGTTTTCCTGTCTTTGTTGTTTTTATCAGACTTTGTAACATTCAGGTCACTGCAGTTGTTCATTTGAATTTTAGCTTGTTTTCCTTCACTTCTAAGCGGTACATACTCACTGTCAGGGCAGGATGCCCGGGTTTACTGTTTTTGCAGAAAGATGAACATTTTATTATGTAAATAATTTTTTCACACTTTCCGTAGTTTTCACTGTTGCATGATTTCATTTGAAGTTGTTTAACAGTGACATCGCTCTCTGCCAGTAATTCTAAGTGTACGCTGAACCTGGTGTTAGGTGTTACGTTGCAAAATGTCATTTTGTCCTTTACCATAAAGGCTTTCAGAAGAACGTGCTAGCAGTCTGCACCCTGATGTTAATTTTGGTTCAGAAAAAGAACTGTAACTCACTATTTTTAAAATGCTAACTAGTCCAAGATAGTAACGCAAATGCCAAAGAATATTAGACTTAGTCCCGTCTTTAGAATTTTAAATAGAATTGGCCAGCCACGTATTATTACTATCCTACTTGCAATATTTTAGCTCTAACATTATTAAATGCAAAATCTCCCTGGTTACTCCTTAATGTTGAAAGTACTGCTTTCAATAATTCGTAATACAAATATGCTGCTTTTTATTCATTGGTAATTTCACAAATTTTACCTGGTAGCCATTATTGAAGTCTAATCAGACATCCTAACTTGTTATTTATTGATAGACTAATAACTTTTAGTGGAAAGCAGACAGTTGAGCTAGTCTGCTTACCTTGGTCTTCATCCAGTTGTTGAACAGCAAACATCAGATTTAAGCATGTGGATAAAAATGAACAAATGTATTAAATTTGTGAACCATGTAAAAATGCTATGGCATAGAAATTGTCACTAACAAAGGTAATTTTTTTTTTTTTGCTTGAAGTTATTATCTTTAGAACACAGGTTGGTGTAGTGTGCAGTAGTTACTTCTCGACTGACCTTATTCTATCTGAATCATAAAGTGACTGAAGTATGCATAACCAAAGCTAAGGTTTTGTTTTTCATTCATTCAGCAACTATTTATTGAGCGTTAGCTCTGTGCCAGGCACGTGACTAGCTGCTACACACTGGACGCGGCACATGGCTAAGGCCAACCTTACAGTAATGTCACATACCTTAAGGCAGGTGTGTTCTGCCCCAGTGGAACTAGCGTTAGGATGATGCTTCACCTGTTGTGGTGAGAACTCTACTCAAAGAGGATGAAATCCTAGAAGTAATCCCACTTTGAGAACTGAAAGAAAAAGAATAAGAGCTCTCCTTTAGAAAACATGGCTTTCTGTTACTTTTATACATGATTGAATTGCATAGCCTTCAGGAAAACATTGCAAGTGCTGGAAGTTTTACTGAGGTGAATTTGTACAGCTGTGCAAAATTTTTGCGAAAAATAGGCAAAATTGCTGATAAGACATTTCACCTCTTCATCAGAACTTCGAACAAAACCCACACTTTCCCAGTGGAGCACCTTTTATATTTGAGAAGTATTCGTTAGAAGCCTTAGAGTGCCAGTATGGTCTGCTGCGGTTTAGCGAACTTTTATCTTACTTTTGGGAAGAGCAGTTGTGATTGCAGAATAGGAAGGAAGAAAGAAAACAATGCCAGCAGTGATTGCTACTTTAGGTAGTTTGTTTTATAACTACCATCCTCCCCCCCCATGAGATTATGTGGAATTTCTTTATCTTACGATAAGATTGAGAAGATAGTGAAAGAATTAGGAATTTAAAATTACAGGGAAAAAAATGTATGTGAAAAGCAATAAATATTTTGTTCACTTTGCTATCAAGATGTTCACTATCAGATATTTATTATACAGCAGCAATTTATATTTTTAATCATTGTCCATTAATAGACGCAGTAAAATATTTTTGAATCAGACATTTGGGGTTTGTATGTGCATCAGAATTGTCTTTTGTACTGTAAGTTACTGTTTAATTTGAATATTTTATCAGAACTGTCTCCCTGTGCCTTTATATTATAAAAGTTGTTTCTACAACTTTTAATGATCTTAATAAAGAATCCTTTAAAGACTCACACTCCTCAGTCTTGTCTCTTGAAATACTGACATTTTTATTGAGTGGAATATGAGGGAACCATCTGGATGACTCTGACCAGGAGTGAAGGTGTAGTTATTTCCTTTATCTGTAATAATGACTTTTTAAACGTGTAAAATGGGATTTTAAAAAACGTCATTATGAAAATTTTGAAATATATACAAGAAATGCAGCAGAAACAATAGGGTCAGTTGTGATCAGACTTAACTCTGTGACCCGTTCTGACTTTCCCCCCTTTATTTTGAACTAATCTGAACTAATCCTTTTATTTATATATTCAGACTTTTCTCCACAAAACCAGAATATGTGTCACATCTGCAAATGCAGCGGTTAACACCTCCGTGGCATGAAAATAGGAAAGCTCTTGGGTACCACTCTTTTTTCTCTTAAGCTTTGGATCAAGAGCAAAGATTCTGAAGCCCTGGCTGTATAATTCCACAATCAGTAAGATAGTAGCAAATGGGTTGGAATATTAATTATTAAGTCAATTATTTAAATAATTAAAAGGAGAACTCAGAGGAGCAACAGTTTTGAATTGGCCTGGTCAACGTTGAAAAAACATTCAGAGATTATTCTGAAAACTGGTGAAGTGGAAGACGAGAACCATAGGATAATCAAACGAGGAAGAAATTTCATAGAACGCAGAGAAGTATTCCAAATAGTAGTTGCAGAAGCAATGTTAGAATATCGCTGCTCCGTAGCTGCCAATGAATTGATGCGTCTGCCCAGTGATCCTTAGTGACTGCTGAGCTGTCGGTTCCTGAAGTGATGATGAGGACTGATGTGTGGTTGTGTCAGGGGAATGGTAACACCTGCTGCTCAGTCTTCCCGTGACGTACCTTCCATGAGAAATACCCAGCACCAACTCTGATGTGTCTTACCAAAGAACAAAAACAAGAACCTGAAGTATGTGGATTAGAGATCTGTCTGTTGAGAAAACCCTAGCAGTATATTAAAGATTGTGATAAAGGGCATTGTGATGCGGAAAGTGCACTGAGCCACTAGTATTTCTTTCCGAAATGTGCCTTAAAACAGATTTTTTAAATGATCGGTTTTAAAAGTTAGCTTCTTATTATTGCTTTTTGGAATAGTGGCTGTGTTTTTATAGTAATAATAGAGTGAGTGTCTTTGGTTTTCCCACTGGCACTGGAATGCTATATACATGTTGTGGTCTTTGTATGTTGGTATTTTCAGACAAATTCAAGTATTTTGAGAGCAGTATAGGGAGGATCAGAAGTTACAGGCAGATTTTTGTTTTAAAGAAACTAAAGATAATGGTATACTTTTAGTGAGATACAATGAAACTTTATTTGTTGTCTTTAGCAATCATATCCTTTGACCATTTGTTGTTAAAACCTTAAGTAGAAATTTCAAACACCTAATAACCACTTGGTTCCCAAGGCAAGGTATTTCTCTAATATAACTTATTAAAGGCAATGAAACATCATCCAACAGTTTAGAAGGAATTTTTAGTTATTTCTGGACAGATAGCTTCAGTCTGACATTGGTCAGTCGTGACTACAGATGAATTATTTAGCATCTGTGAGATAATGTCCACATTTTGAAGCTACACAACTTCTTTGACTCAATTACATGGTTACTGGCCTGACATGATACAGCATGTTTCTGCATGTGCTGTGAAGTGCCATTTTAGTGTTCTTTATTTTCCTTCTTCTTCATTTTTTTTTTTACTTGTTAGCTTTGTAGAGCCACCAATGACTTACGTATTTGTAACTCAACACCATAATTAGCCTTAGCAGCCTTAGCCGGGGAGAGACAGTCAGCAAATATTGTTGGAAAACATCCTACGGTTTAGATGAAATTGCTAACGACGTGATTGAGCATGAGAAATTGTAACTTAGTAATTCCTTGGACTTTGTAGGAAAATTATAATCAAAATGACTGTTGGGGATGGGGCTTTCAAGTTTTTTATCCTTGGCAGATCCTCATTCTTGAACGTAACTTTTCCATCTTTAGTTAAAATATCAAAAATAAGGAAAAATGTCACTCTGATATTTGTTGTATAACTACTTTTCTTTAGAAGGTTTTATTTGGAACCATCTAATTTGTTTAAAAGCTACTTGTAACTTAACATATATTAATAAATACTTATACAATTGAGTATAGCTATTATTTGCTAATATGTAGGTACTAAACTATATTAAATATACAATACTGATATAAAAGTGATAACTACAACTTAAGTTTTAGCAGTTTCAAAAGAGGAAACACAATAGATGCTAGCATGGCAAAACACACATTAAAAATTGATAGATGTCTCACTCCATCTTGTCAATGGACAGAAAGAATACCAGTAAAAATGGCAAAGAATCGAGTGAAGAGCTTCCCACCTTGGCTTGGCATGATGTGGTTTGTAGGCAAATTGGTGGAAGGATGTGGAGGCAAATTGAAATTCATGGGTGGATCCAGACACCCTCTCTGACCTTTTGGATGCCTATACTAAAAACAAATCCCGGAGTAATACAGGATGACTTTAGCTTGTGAGTCATGGTTTGCCAATTCCCTTCTTAAAGTACTGCAAAATATCTCTGCATAAAAATATGCCATGTTTTGTTTTGCCATATCACGGGTTTATCATGTCAAACCTTTCAGTATCAGAAACTGCTGTGGTTAGCCATATACAAATAGCCCTGCACGTGCATGAGTACTCCCAAAGAAGGTGGAATTACTGTATCTATGGGCAGATATCTTGACCTATCAGATTTCTGGTCCACTATCTGAGTGAGTCAGTTCCTGGCTTCAGCTTCCTGTTACTGCAGTCCTTGGGAGACAGAGGTGACAGCTCATGCATTGGTGTTCCTGCAGGGCACGTGGGTCTGTGGTTTGAGTTACACGACCTGGGCTTCAGCCTGGCCCAGCCTTGGTCCCTGTGGGATTTGGGGAGTGGACCAACAGCTGACTATTCTTTGTCTCTGTGCCTCTCAAAAACAAACGAACAAAAACCAGCATGAGGTCAAGGGTTTTTATTTTTTAAAATCCTTAACACTCCTTAAAATTTGGGAGTGGGTTGTTCTTTATTGATTTATTGTGTTGAAAATACTTTCTTTGTTTTATTTACAGCTGCTTAATAATTGAGATTTGAGATAAATGTTACTCCCTCAACTTCCAGCTTGATTTAAAGTAAGAAAAGCAGGCATTAAGAAGATAAGTGTATCAGGACTGGTGCTGTAGGTAGACTGCCCACACAGCAGCAACAGCAGCATCCCACTTGGTTGCATACCCCGATACTCCCTGCTAATATGTCTGGGAGCACAGCAGAGGATGACCCAAGTGCTTGGGCCCCTGAACCCATTTGGAAGGTCTGGAAGAGGTTCCTAGCTTCTGCCTGGCCCAGCTCAGGTCATTGTGGTCATTTAAGGAGTGAAGCAGTGGATGGAGAATTCTTTGACTTTGCCTTCAAATAAATAGATACTAAAAAAAAAAAAAAAAAGTAGAAAAAAAACACATTGGAATATTACGCTTTTGGATAGCATGGCCTGTATCAACAGCTTCCCTAGTGCCATATATCCACTTTTATCACAGGAAGAGTTGGAAAACCATGGACCATTTGCTTCCTGATGTATGAGACTATCATATCCTTAAAGGAAAGGGACAGAGAGGCTGATCGGCATACGACCAGTTCGCTTTTCCAGACTTACCAGTTGAATGAGTCATTGGTGAAAGCGAGAGGAGAGATGGTATCTCCCAGCAGCTCCAGTCAGACTCGCCATCTTTACAGTGACGTCGCTAGCTGCTTAAATTGGTCAGCTGCTTGTTTCATCTTTATCCATTTTAAGCAAACACAGTGAGTTCTTTTCCCTTAAATGTTTACTTTATATGCATTGGCTTGCTTAGACTTCTTTGTGTGTATTTAGAAGAAAAGGTATAGGCAAAATAAGCAATTTGGGAAACATGTTGAAAATTTACACTTGTTGACTCATGTATCAAACCCTCACCTTTGTTATCCCTGTTTCATCAAGAAAATTGGTGAAGCTACGTTTTTCAAAAGAATGTTCCACTGTTATCTCTAGAAGCTTCTTTAACTCACAGCCACACAATATTGTATGTTTTGGTTGTCTATCCTCTGGAACTGACATGGTCCATAAATGATCCTTTAACACTTTGTAAATTAAAATGCTGAAGGAGGCACCTTTCCAATAATGATGGAATAGCAGCCCCATTGGAGCCTGTGTTGGCAGCGATGCCACTCAGCAACTCCTGACAGCAAACAGGACACCAGTCACCAGCCATTGTGAAACACGGGTGCATTGCAGATGTTAAATTCTGAAAGCAACATTTGTTGAATTTTAAGCATATTGCTTTTTCTAGTTGTCACATTCCTCTCTCTCTCTCTCTCTCTCTCTCTCTCTCTCTCTCTCTCTCTCTCTGTGTGTGTATTAATAAAAATAAAGCAAAATCTACCATTTTCCCCATGGAAAATCTCTCTCTGTAACTCAAATTTCAAGTAAATAAAAAAAATTACACTTTTTTTTAAAAAAAGTGTACAATTAATTATATCCACAATAGTCACCACCACTGTATTGCAAAATATCTGTATGTGAAGTTAAATAGTTAAATAGTAACTCCCACTCCCCTAATTTCTAATCTACTTTTGGTTTCTTTCATATATAGATATACACATACCATATATATATCATGTAAATGGATTTAATACAGCATTTATTTCTGGCTGCTTTCATTCACTGTACTGTTTTCAAGGTTCATTCATGCTATGGCATGTCAAATCTCCTTTCTTGTTATTTGGGTAATATTACATTGTGTGTGGATACATTTTAATTATCCACCTATTGAATGGATATTTGAACTGCTTCCTCCTTTTGACTGTTGTGGGCAATCTCCAGTGAATATTGATGTACAAGAATCTGAAACCCTGTGTGCAATTCTTCGGGATATAAGCCTCGATAGTGTAGACTTGTGTGTTAAGTGTTTGAGGAACGTCTGATTCTCATCTGATTGATGCTTTGGGGATGAGTAGAAAGTGATCCATTCTAACAAGGAACTAAAAAGGAAGTGGTGATGATTACTCATGACCTCGGAGTGACTCACCTGCCAACAATGTGCTGCCAGAGGTTCTGGAATTACAAGGGAACTTCAAGAAGCTTGCAGAAAATGGAACGAAAAGCTAGCTTTACTATGCTGCACAAAATTTTGAAATCTGTGCATATGAGGGAGCTTCAAAAGCTTCATAGAAAAAGACATAGTTATGATAACTGTGCACGGATTTGAATTTTTTGCACTCAGATAAGATCTTTTTAATTCAGTTTTCCCATAGAAGGTTTTTGGCAGCTCCTTCATATGTGTGTGTGTCTGTGTGCATTTTGAATATACTTAACCAATCTTAATGCTCGTGCCTTTAGTTTCACAGTGTCTAGCAAAATGCTGTTTTTCAAAGTTACTTAAATCAGCACCTTTTCATAAAATTCCAGGTTTTTTTGGAGCTGGCACTCTAGATGTGAATAGGTGTATATTCAAGACGTGGTAGTTGTGGTTGGTGCAGCAATGCAGTGGGTTGGGCTTCTGCATATAGTGTGGGCATCCTGTATGTTTACTGGTTTGAGTCCTGGCTGCTCCACACTGATCCAGCTTCCTGCTGGTGCTTCTGGGAAAGCAGTAGAGGATAGGTCCTTGTACACACAAGGAAGACCTGGAACTTTCTGGCTCCTAGCTTTGGCCTATGAGCATTTGAGAAATGAATCAGTGAATGAAAAAATTCTCCCTGTCTTCAAAATGAGTAAAAACAGTTATTAAAAACGTGACAGTTTGGCCCAGAGTGGTTTGCTTAGTAGCTCAAGTCCTCACCTTATATGTGCCAGGATCCCATATCAGTGCGGATTTGTGTCCTGGCTGCTCCACTTCCCATCTAGCACCCTGCTTGTGGCCTGGGAAAGCAGTCAAGGACCCGGAGCAGAGCCTGGCTTTGGATTGGCTCAGCTCCAGCTGTTGTGGCTACTCGGGGAGTAAATCAATGGCTGGCACATCTTCCTCTCTAACTCTCCTTCTCTCTAAAATCTGGCTTTTCAGTAAAAATAAATAAACCTAAAACAAACAAGGAAACAGAACAGTATGATTGTTTTTAAAGACATGGTTCCTTTTGCTCTGGACTTTCTGGCCAGCTATAGCCACCCTGGCAAGAGGCCTGGAATATTACCTGGCGTGCATAGCTCGACTGAACAGCGACATTCATTGCCAGATACACTTGTGAGAACCTCATAGACCATCTTGTTGAGCCACCTAATACTCTTAGTTGTCTGACAGATCCAAGACAAAACCAATAGGATTGCCCTGCTGAGCCCCCTACATTGCTAATCCACTGAATCGCAAGAGAATGGAGCGACTCTTGAAATTCATCTCTATATTTTTGTCAGTAAGTTTTGAGATAGTGTGTTAAGGCAGTCATAATATTGGTACTGAGTCAGCCTAGGTCTTTACATATTCTAGGAGGCTCTGCATCTTGCTCCTTCTGAAGTTTTATATGTTTCAAAACAGGTTGTGTTCAGGCAACTTAAACCAGTGCAGGTGCCATGACAGACAGTGATGTTTTCCTTAAATAAATATTACCAAGTCAAGCAATTTACTTCATAACAAGTGTGTTTCCAATATGTTTCCAAGTATTTCCAATATGAGTTGTGAGTAAGCTCCTAGTTGAGGATCTTCTTTCATTTCATCCATTTTGTTTTCTTAGGTTGTAAAGGTGAGTGATTTTGGTAAGGATACTGGATGTTGGGTCTTTGCAGGGCTAACTAGATGTCATTTGTAGAAGCTGGTGGGTCGTGACAACATTCAGCTCACAGCACTTCCTCACAATCATGGCCTGTCCACTGGTGCTTTGTCAACTTTTTGAAGTTGATGGATTTAGCTGTAAAATTGTAAGTATTGTATACTTTCTGGTTACTTCTCTTGTGCCTTTCTTTTACCTCAAAGGATATTTTTTTCCTGCAACTTTTCATATGCTGTATGTGTCATTTTTCTCCAGTGGTAAACCAGATGGATCCTCAAGGTCAGGTCAGCCGGATGAATGCTAATCTGTGGCCTTCCAATACCCCATGGAATTGAGAGCACACTCTCTGCCATGTGAACTACCCTTTCCATTATACTAGCAGCATGCCATCAATACTTGGATTAACATCAACACTTACACACATAGCAAGCTAACTGTAGGGGCAAATAAATGCATTATTCTGTGTGTGTGTGTGTGTGTGTGTGTGTGTGTGTGTGTGTGTTTATTTAAAGGCACAGTTTCACACAGTTTCAGAGGGAGAAGAGACAAAGGTCTTTCACCCACTGGTTCACATGCCAAACAACCCGAGCTCGGCTGGTGTGAGACCAGGAGCTAGGAGTCACTTCCAGTCTCCCACATGGGTGCAGGGGCACAAGGACCTGGACCATTGTCCACTGTTCTCCCAGGCTGCAAGCTGGAAACTGGATTACAAGTGGAGCAGCCAGGACCCAAACCAGAACACATGTGAGATGATGGTGCTGCTGGTAGAAGCTTTGTTTACTATAGCAAAGCCCCAGGCTCACCAATGCCTTACTCTTCATCATAGACCACTGGGTAGCATCAGGGGATTGTGGCAGAGATAACTCATTCTCCTTTTAGGGCCAAAAAGGATGTGAAGAGATTCAGTCCAACTGTCTTTCAAATTATCATAAGGCAGAAGCAAACCACACACGATCCAGGTTCCTAGGCATTCCTGGGAAAGGTGGCAGGTAAATAGGGGGCCCTTTGGATTAGGTGTGGTAACACCACTTTGTGCCAGTCACAGGTAGAGAGCCCAAGGAAGCATTTCCTTGAACCATACAACTTTGGAAGAAAAGTTTTAAAATAATTAACCAGCTCTGGTTTCTTTTTTAGATAGATGAGAGAATAGTAGTGAGAGTCAGGCATGGGGAGGGTTGCCCCAGGGTGTATCTTGCCCCAGGGTCAGCGGTTAAGGTAGCTGTGGGAACCTTGCCCCAGGGCGTGTTATCTTTCACTACACATCCTGTTTCTCATTTAATCCCTTTTCAGTAATTTTCGTAATTCAATTCTATATCACCATTTGTGAATTCTGCTTTTTCATTTTGCCCATTTTATCTTGTAAAGTAAAAAACTGGATTGTCTCGCCACCTCCGGTAGAAGCCGGTTTGAGAAATCGCCGGACCGAGGCGTAAGCTTCAAGGAAGGATGCCTCCCGGAATCGGCTGCATCTCTAGTGGTCTTGGCGTTCCTAACTGTACTCTCTTTGCTCTTTTCTTTATGACTGGAATAATACTATTTATGTGCGGCAAAGGCTCGATGTTTCTTTATAAATCTATGAAGCCTTCTGACAGGAGATTGGATAAGAATAGCAAGCAGTCTGAGATAAAAACTATTAAGTTATTAGTTTTAGTGAATCTATTTAGGGTTAATTTTGAGAATTTCTAGAAAGAAGATTATAGTAGAAAGCTATAGCTTAAGAAGCCATACAGGAAGAAAAACAAGAAATATAGGCAAGTTAATATTAAAACCAGTGTAAGGCACAAAACACAATGAGGGCTAACTACTTAATCATTAAAACTGCAACTGGTGCCAAACTGCGTCCACAAGAAATAACAACTGCAGTCTGTCACCGGGCTGTTAGAGAACAATCTTTGCTCAACACACCTGTTTACCTCCCTGGAATAATTGCTTGTAGAAATGTAACCACACGTATAAACAAAGAAAAATGTTCTTTTGCAATAATCTATTGTATATAAGCTGAGGCCTTGCTTTTGCAAAATACACTCAGATACAACTTCCTTGAGTTGTCATGTCTGTTTGTCACTCGCCGAATCCTTGCCCACCATTCCCGGGGTCCTGTTCCCGTCGGACTGATTGCTCCCGGCCGAGCCCGTCCGTCGCACTGGATCTATTCCATATGTGAGGCATGACAGAATTATGGGTGTTAAAAATAATAAATAAATACGTGTGTAAATACTTACAAAAATGGGGATTCATGCCTTTTACCGAAAGCCACGATAAAAATTCTGTAAGATACGGAAGCATCCTTGAATTCCTCACTTGATTCTAGCTTTCTTTTTGGGACTCATTCTTCTCTCAAGTTCAGGCAGGCATTGCAGTCTTGATTTTGAGCCCATGATTTGTCCATTCTTAACTAAATTCAGAAAATGACGAGTGCGTTATCTCCATCTTTAAAGTCTAGATAAACCCTGGCAGTCAGTCGTGGGGAAAATTGTTAAGTTCTCTAGTTCTTCAGCAATGCTTTTCTAGGATATCCAAAACTCATCTGGGTCATGGAGTTCCTGGGGAGATGCTAAGCCACGCCTCATCTTCGGAGGAAGAAATCCTTAGCTCGCATGTTAGTAAACATTTTAGTCATTTGCAACTCACTTGAAAGCCCCAGTGAGTCTATCCAAAGTGTTCTTAGTAAACTTTCACTGTTTTACTTAAGAAGCACTTACTTCTTTGTATGGGTCTTCTGTGGAAAGAAATGAGCAATTACAAATACTGTGGACTCAAGATGTCCATTTATAAATTTATCTTTCAGGTATGGTTTTAATTAAAAAAAAAAAAAACCCAAACCCGAATTTAGACAACAGCTAAAAGTAATATTGATGGTTACTTTTGAAACTGTACTCACGTGTTGGACAGGGCCCCACCGGATTGGATGAGACTAGTCCTTGAGCTTCCACACTTTCTTAGTTAGGGTCATTATTGACCAAAGGGGTTACTCACTACTACAGATTTCTTCTTTTCCTATGTTCCAATTTTTGGCAATTTTTCCCCCTATGGGGATGTTTGTTTTCTCTTGGCAAGCTTCCGACTGCCTGATGCTTTTGAAGCTATATGTCTGTGATAAAAAATCTTCAATTCTTGCTGTGTGCCGTTTAGGTTTTGACACTACAAAGTTAGTTTCTCCCAAGCCATGTGCTGAACAACATTTATTCTCCTAAGTGGTGCCACACTTTGAGAGGCTGCCCTGTCTTTCCTGGGCATTTTCAATTGTAGAATCTAGAATTGTGCATACAAGATACTTGGTAAAGAAGAGTTGTGGCCCCAGGAACTCATCCATCTACTCGCCACCTGTTTCAGTTAGTGCAACAAGAAATGCTGGGCTGTTTTTCAGATGGCTTGCCCAACAAGACACTGTCACAGATTTTTTTGATTCCTTCCTTCGTTCCTCCCCTCCCTCTCTCTCTCTCTCTCTCTCTCTCTCTTTCTCTCTCTCTTTCAACTTAGAAGCTGCTGTTGTGGTGGAAAAGGTTAAGCTGCCACTTGTGACAATGACAACTCATATCCAAGTGCTGGTTCAAGTCCAGGCTGCAATTTTTTTCTTAAAAAGAGAATTTTTCTCTTAAAAGAGAAAAAAAGCAAAATTTCACAAAACTGAGATACAGTTACCTTTTTTTTTTTAAAAAATCTCAATGCATTGTAAGTTCTTAGGGAGGCAAATTAATTTTTATCATTTTAAACTGATACAGGTGGGGGGGGGCTGGTGTTTTGGCAACGCTGTGTTAACACAGCTGCTGTCTGTATTACGGCAGCACTGAACATGCGCACTGGTTCCAGTACTGACTGGTTGGCCTCTAATCCAGCTCCCTGCTAGCGGCCCCATGGAAACAGCAGAGGATGGCCACGTACTTGGGCCCCTGCCACCCATGTGGGAGGCCTGAATGGAGTTCCAGGTTCCCGGCTTGGACTAGTCCAGTCCTGGGCTCTGTGGCCATTTGGAAAGTGAACTAGTAGCTCAAAGATCTCTTTGTCTTTCACTCTCTTTGATGCTCTGCCTTTCAAGATAAGTAACTAACTCTTAAATTATTTTAAAAGGTATCAATATGGATTGTCTTGTCATAGTTAACCATTAGTTCATTAGTTAGTTGTAAATTCCAAGTGAAAAATTACTAATTGTTGAACTCTTCCCACAATACTGCAAGAGTATGTTGTGTGTCATTTGCTTGCACCCTAACGTTGACCTGTTTGTGTGGAGTCGTTACAATTAATCTAAAACATCAAATAGATGCATGATTCTATGCCTTAACACATTAGGCACATTTTCAGCCTTCAGAAACCACAGTATAAATGATGCACATTTAGAAAACATGTTCATATTAAGATAGTTTGTTTTATCCTGACATAATTAAGTATGATTTAATTTTGGGAGAAAGCAAGTATGTATGCTTTTGAGCATAACTCCTTTGTATCTCCGTTTGGCCACTCTATTTCCATCTCTAACTTCGCAAATTCAAATGACCAAACAGATAAAAGTATCTTTCCACATAGCAGTGCTGTAGACCAGCTAACTTTTAGCATAACTTTGCCTTTCTTTTTCAGCATTTGACTACTGAATAAGAGGGTTTTCAATCACATGTTAAAAGCTTGACGAAATGGTAGCTTCCCCGCTTTCTCCTCTGAGCAGCTGCCTTGTAGATAAGTACATTTCCTGGTTTGAAGTGAGCGTGGTTAAATACAAGAGAATGTTTAGGACATTTCCATGATTTCTATTGAGAAAAGCATTGCGAGTAAGTGCTTCACTCCACAAGATGTAAGGCAAGAATCCTGATGATTTTCTCCACTAGGGTTTCCACACGAACTTTCCACACGCAAGAGTTCTTGAAAGAATGATTTCTATTCTTTTGTAAGTGGCACCTGGAGAAGCCCTTTAGTGTCTTTGCTCAATCACAATCTATCATAACTATTTGATCTCTAAGGCCAGGCCGTGTCAGGGGGACCACACATAAAATGCCTCGTCCTTATCGTTGAATTAGCTCTTTGGATTTCACAATTACATGGTATTTGGGGTGGGGGTGGAGACACCACAATGTCTTAGTAAATGTCTTTGTCTTAAGATCTCTGTGACTCCAACCTCAAGGCAGAGTCTGTGTTACTTCTGTCAGCCATGCCTTCATGGAGAGGATTTTAACACTGTTGCTGGGCTAAGATAAAATCCTGTGTACCTAGAAAGTAAACCGAAGGTTATGCATCCTCAGAGCATCTGTAAGCATTTCACAGCCGTTTCACCCAAATCTTTTTAGAAATTTGAATGTGTTTTTCCTAGCTCATATCATTTACTACTATTTTTGTCAATCACAAAATTAAAAGCGATTTACCTGATGATCACAATTTAGAGTATTGGATTTAATTTTTTTTTTAATTGGAAAGATTTAGAGAGAGAAAGAAAGACGGATAGAAAGATCTTCTATCTGCTGGCTCACTCCCCAAATGGACACATTGGATGGAGCTGAGCCGATCTGAAGCCAGGAGCCAGGAACTTTCTTTGGGTCTCCCACACCAGTGCAGGTCCCCAGGCTTTTGGGCCATCCTCCTCTGCTTTCCCAGGCCACAAGTAGGGAACTGGATCAGAAATTAAGCAACTGGGGTACAAAGTGGCAACCATAGGGGATACCACACTTGGAAGTGTAGAATTAGCAAGTTGAGCCATTGCAAGGGGTCCCAAGAATGCATTCAATAATTTAAGATTTGTATTGTTATGTATTTTCACTTTAAGTTAAAAACATGGCTTTGGATCAGTACAGCACCAGTCGTTGCGCTCACTTGGGGAGTGACTCATCGGATGGAAAATCTTCCTGTCTCTCCTCCTCTCTGTATATCTGCCTTTGCAATAAAAAATAAGTAAATCTTTAAAAACAGAAAAAGCTGAAAAGAGAGAAAGAGAAGCATTTATCCAAATGTCCAAGACAGCCAGGGCTGCGCCAGTCCAAAGACAGGACCCTGGAGCTCAGTTCTGGTCTGGCTGGCTGCCAGTGACTGGGTCCCGCAGCCACCACCTGCTGCCTGCAGGAGGTTGAAACCGGAAGTGGAGGCAGGGCCTGAGTGGAAGTCAATCTCGCACTTGAACCCATATTGCATTACGAAGTGGGGGTTTCCCAGACTGCCTTTAACACCTGCCCCTGTCTGAATACGTTATCTTTCCTTAACTATCCTGCAGCTAAACAGAATTTTTAAATCAAGAAATTTTACCAATCTTATTTTGCTCTTATGACAGAGACTTCATTGCATTAAAATACGCAGGATAAGCTGGGAATCATGAGTGCACAATACAACATTCTGTATAAATTTATTCCAAAATCACTACTTTTGTGAAGCTTCTGTCACTGTGGGAATTATAAAAATTAGGTTGATATTCATAAAATCTTATTTCAAAAACTTCATCATTTTTAGAATGCCGTTGTGGGGATGTTTCAAAATCTTGAAATGATTGTTAAAGGGAAACAAAGAACAGTATACCTGTGATGGGTTGTATTACATCCGGGTGCTTCCTCTGATATCTTCTGCTGTAGTCTGGGGACACAAGCAGGTGGATTTACACGGCGCAAGAATAGCTGCTAGGAACACATCCCAGCACGTCAGGAGGCATTTTCATCGAGAATGGGATGATTGGTAAAAGGGTTGACCTCACATTTTGAAGACAGACAGCCCTGTGTAGATTCATAGACCGATTACGTAAAACTCGATTGCTCCCTTGTGCACTGATTCTGGGCTTCCGGCATGAAAATCTGAACAAACCACACTTTTTAAAAAATATTTATACTTTAAAGTTTTCCTAAGCCAACATTTGTCTGAATGTGGTTTGCTTATTTTTTGACTAAAAGCATTAATTGGCACGACTAAGTCAAATATAAATAGCTTATTGAAATCCTCTCAAACAACAATAAAGGAACATTTGTTTATACTAAGAAAAAAGGAGCCTTCAAAGTCTGAATGTTTACAATAATTGTTTCCAACAGTTTTTCCTTCCATAAACATTGACATGAGTATGACTACCATTAAACTGAATTTTTGTTTATCAGAAAAGATTCTATTCTTTGTGTTAAATAGTTTTCAATGCCTAATTTCCTGCAAACTTTCTGTACCAATTACTGATTTTGCTTTCACTGCGTGTTTTTTTGTGTGTGTGTGTATGAGTTTAAAATTGATGTATTGTATAACTACTGAAAACACTGAACTAAATGAACAAGTGAGAAGGAAAACGTGGCATTTCTTCATTGCTAGCCACAGACCATGATTATTTAGCTCCAATGGACTCCACTGGAGATTTTCAGTGACAGAAAAAATATGAAACTGCTTTAAGATATTAATAGGTAATAAGACTGCAAGTGTCGAATTGAACATTAAAGAGAACATGCGAACGTGAGGGAATTATCAGCAGGCTCAGTCATCGGGTGCGAGATGGGACTTAAAGAACAGAAAGTTTGAAGGCTTGTGGTGCCAGCATCATATTTAGGAAACAGTGCAAGCCACCAGCATGTAATCAATGACGGGATGTCTAGTGAAATCTCTTCACCATCAGAAAAAATGTATGAGAAAGTCACCCACGTGTGGCCTCTCATCGTTGTATTAAATCATAGCATTCTGACATTGGAGAGAAATACTTACTCTTGTGTGGCAGAGGCAAAATGGAGAAGACTAAAATCAGTATTTGAATGAAAGTAACAGAATAACTATAAGCTCTATTCTGTCTTTTTCTTATCTCAGCTTTTTCTTACGAGTGCTCATTGGGTGCAAAGCTAACTTCTGGTTACAAAGACATCCACAAATGATTTCTCGGTGTACTTTTAGAATAGAGCTATTGGGGTTCTTGGAGTATTGGTCGCTAGCAGGAGAGTGGACCGGGTATGGATAATCCTTCTGATAAGTGTCCTTGGAACTTTCATGCAACGTGGAATGAGTCTGGAGTTACAACAGGTGTGTCACCATAGAGCAGGTCAAAAAGTCTGTGAAACCTGAGTTCTAGGAGGCCTAAAGATCCAGGGAAGGACTGTGGCCTGGGTCGGGGAGATCAGAGCCTTCCTCGACAATTATATTTCCTCTTCTTTAAAACTCTTAGCCCCAGCTGTAGCAACTCCCTTGGTCACCTCGTACATAGGTAAATGTTACAATTCTGGGAGAAAAGCAGCCAAGAGCTGATAGGTATTCTGGGCCTGATTAATGCCAAATTTGTGTTAACTATATATGTGTGCCAGCATAATTGCCTATTCTATTTTTTTTTCTTTGAAGATATGTAGGGAAGGCAGGGCACACCAGGTAGGGAAATTGCAGATTGCCCAGGGAAGGGTGTTTGGGGAGACATATGTGAGTGGGAGCAGTTGAGGACATGTTTAACAGGGCAGGAATGACTTCTGGGTTCTTTCAGAGGTGGGGCCACTGCACTGGAAGGTAGATGAGAGAGCTTAGATTGAGCAGTTTAGAGGGGAAGAAACCGGAGGACATGTCTAGGACAATGCACCCACCCTCATGGGAGACCTAGGGTAGGCTAAGTCACATCACCAACCGCCTGATGGTGCATGCAAAAGTTAGGGCCAGGGTACATGCCTGGCTGGTCTAGGCTACAGTACCTGCCCGTAAGTGTCAGAGCAGAGGTTGGGCCATACTAGGCTGGGTGGCTGCACCACCAAAACACAAGAGAACTGGGTCTGGGGGCAGATTCCGTAGACTTGTGGGTTCATCTGTGCGGGACTGCAGACTTACACGGAGATCCGGGAGCAATGACTGACTGAGTCAGGCTGCACCACAAAACTCACCTGACACTTATGGGAGCTGGGCCTGAGAGGAGGTGAGGCTGGGCCAGTCTACAGCATCTGCTAGCATGATCAAAGGCTGAGACTGAGTGCAGACCATGCCAAGCATGGCTGTGGCATCTCCCAGTGTGCATGAAATCCAGGGCTGGTAGTAGGCCTGGTAGGTGAACTTGTGGAACTCCTCTGCTAAGGCTGAAGCTCTTCCGGGGAGCACAATAGCAGGGGCTGGAGGTGGGCCATTTTAGGCAAGACAGTAGCACTTCTCAGCATTTGTGTGGTGGCTGGGTCTTGGGGCAGGCCAGGCCGAACTAGATCATGACACTCATGAGTATGCACAAGAGCCAAATGGTGTGTGCGACAAACTAGACTATGCCTGCAGCACATCATGCCAACAGATGCTAAAACATGTTGAGATGGACCTGGTAAGGGTTATTGGGGGTTGTCCCAACTCGGCCGTGATACTGGTGTGCGTGAAGACCAGGCCTGTGACAGGCTGGCCTGGGCTTGGCTGCAGCACCCATCAGTATGCATGAGAGATGGGGCTGGGAGCTGAGCTCACCAGGGTGTTACATCCACAAGTATGTGCATTGGCTGGTTCAGGTAGCAGACCAAATCTAACCCTGCACTGGCTGACACAAAAAAGCGTGTGAAGATGTCTTTAGGTTTATCATAGATAGGACATGCAAGACCTTCTTCTGGGGTATCATAGTATATATTATATCTGTGCTTCATTGAGGTGTGTAAATCAAGACATCTGGATTGAGATCAAATTTCAGTACCATAAAGGAGATTACATCCTCAGAATGGGAAGGGTAATAGGGCAAATCCTTCATTTCTGCGCTGTGTTAAATGGACCCGGCTTCCTCTTATTGCTTCACATCTCTTGCTCACCTTCCAGACTCCTGGGAAGACAAATGGAGGTAAGGAAGTGGCTGGTGGCTATCACACTGGGTTTCTTTTAAAATTTATTTTCATTTTATTTGAGAAAGAGGGATGTGGTAGAGACAGAAAGAGAGAGAGATGACAGACACTTTTAGTGAGATTTTTCAGCCGTTAGTTTAATCCCCAATGCCCACAGCCATCAGGGCTGGGCTGGGTTCGGCTGGGCCAGGCTGAAGGAAGGAGCCTGAAACTCAATCCATGTTGTTCCATGGGGTAGCAGGAGCTCAAGGACTTGAGCCATCATCTGCTGCCTGCCAGGAGTCTGGAACAGAATGGGAATAGCAGGACTACAGGCTTCCTGAATTCCGAGTCAACTCTTATGACAAATGCCTGTCCCCACATTGACTTGCTTATATGTATAAAATGCATGTTCCTGGCAGTGGTGGTTAATGAAAACAACTTGAATCATCTGTATATATCACAGAGATGTGCATTAGATGCTGTATGAAAAGGTAGGCTACTTACAGATAACCCTAGCTATTGGTGTTCAAATATTCACATGTTTTATATCATGAGAGTCAACCAAGTGAATATATATATATATACACACTTTTCCATTTTCTTCTTAGTCATCTTGCTGAGAGGGTAACTCAACGAGAAGGTAGAAATGAATCTCCCATTAAGGAGGGGTAATTTTTTCAAGAATTCTATAAGATTGATGTTTGGAAAAAGTAGGGAAATTTGTCAGTTATGAGTGTTTCACTACAATGGTGCCAGTCTATATTATACACTGAAAAAATTTTTTTTTCTAAAATGGGCATTTATTTATGTCTAGGAATAAAAGTAATTTTTAAAGAGCCAGGAAACATTGTTCTATAAATATCAAGTTATACTATCTTAGACTAAACAAATGAGGTTAGCTTCAGGAACTTGTGGTTGTAACCACAGCTTCTTCTCCCTGGATATATGAATCCATTATTTATAGTCTATGCTGGGAGAAATTAGATAAATTAATTAGGAGCTGCTCATCCTGCTGAGGAGAGTGTAGCACAGCTCCTTCTGGAGTTCACTTCTTAAAAAAGTGTACTTTAAGAGAATGTGGTGATATGAAAATCTGTTGGAAAAATTCATACCTGAAATGGATGCTGCAGTGCTCTGGATTGAGCCACAAGTTGGGATATTCCTTGTTCCTATAAATCGTATAGGAATTATGGGTGAGGTTGTACCTGTTCTTTTTCTGATCTAGCATTGTTTCTGTCCACCATTGCATGAGACAGCAGTTGAAAGCTTAAATGCTCAGTTCCCCATCACCCATTTGGGGGACCCAGATGGAATTAGAGGCTGCAGGCATCAACCTGTCCCAATCCTGACTGTTGCAAACATTTGGTGACTAAACCAGCAGGTGGAAGGTGTGTGTGTGTGTGAAAAAATATAGGTATTCACAAAAAGTGCCAGGTCCTAATCTTATTTCTGCTATCTCTGTGTTGAGTGAATTCTCCAATGATCTTTCTGAAACATTCAATGCATATTCAGAGAAGTAGAGTCTGGGTCCAGTAGGTGCAAGAGTCTAGCTCGGCATGACCTGTGCTCCATACTGGTTTCTAATTTTGTTTGTGGGCTAAGGTTTGCTCAGTCCTGCCCAGTACACCCTGTCCCATTACCAATTCACACATTAGCCAGCTGTTGGAGCTACTTTGCCCAGCTTGTCTGACCCCCAGGTCAGGACTGCATGTTCACCAGCAGGAGCTATGACTCATCAGGGGCATTTCCCAAGTTCTTCCACTTGATCCACTCCCCTACCCAGTTCTCATATATGCCAATGGGTTTTAGGCCAGTGCCCAGTGCAGTCTGGCCTTCCATTTGGCCATGTATGAGTTGGTGAATGCTGCAGCCTGGCCCACCCCACACCCTATTCAGGATGCACATTCGGGTACTGCTGCCTTGACCAGTCCAGACTGTTGTGGGTTCCTTTATCTGTGATTGATGGCATGCTCCTTGGTCACTCCTAGCTTATTCCATCACCACCCAAACTCTTGAGCTAACCAGTGGGACTAGAATTTCCACAGGGTGTGGCCCACATATCGCCCACAGAATCTACCCCCAGATATGGTTCTAAGTGCTAGTTAATGTCGTGGCCCTGCCTAATGTGACCTGTCAGCTGATCCATCATCATGTCAGGTAATAGGATATCCTGCTGGACAAGCCCTGAGCCATAGCTTTTGCATGAACTGGTTTTGGGTGCTCAGCATTGTTAAGTGATTACAAGTTCTTCAAAGGAAGAGTTACTGTCATTGGGAATCTTTAGGATTGACTCACATCCCAGAAGCACAGTGGGTTCAGCCTAGAGCTATCTAAGCAGTGATTCAAAGAACCAAAACTCCAGCGCTCCCTGGCAGGGCGGCCAGCAGGCAGAGCCTGGCGCTCAATTAGGGTGGTGGGTGGGCCCCAAACCTGCCCAGTCACGGAAACTCTCCCCCTCGGTGTACTCACCCTGAAGGGAGCAGCCTCCGGAGCCCAGGCAGGCCCGGAGACAGCTCACCACGTGCACATGGTGGCTGGCATGTGAGATCCAGGCATTAGATGCCCTGTCCTGAGACCCACCTGCAGCGGGGAGACTGCAGGAAGTTTAAACTCCGAGGCCCAAGGTCGTGTCCCTCCCCAATCCCATTCACCAACCAATGAGGAAATTCTGCTCTTCTCAAACTGACTGATAAAAATCTTTTAAATGATTGCTTCTCCTAGGTAATAATCAAATATAAAAATTTGTAAAATGGTGGTATGTTAACTAGATATGGCATGACGTCCTGTTAGTTCAGTCTACATTTTTGTAAAAATCAGAATTGCATATAGATATTATTATGCCTGGTGCTCTTCGAAAGTGATAAAATCTACTCACACTGTCCTTACTCTTCTGTGCCAATAATTGGCTGGGGCTGAGTGGCAGTTGCTGCCTTAGGCTTGGCACACGTCCTCCCTCAGTCCCATCCTGCCACCTGCCTGGTCCTTGTGGGCATCTAAGTGCCATGATTGATCTCTGCCCTAAGTCTATATGGAAGAAGAAAACGATTTTCATTCATCAGCCTACTCCTGTCGTCGCCTAGTTTGTGTTTCACACTGTTATTTATAGTGACAGTTCCCTTTCTTTTGTCCTTCCCCAGACCCAATTTCATACAAGTCAGCTTGCTTAGTTACACATTGTCTGCAATGACACAGAAATGCTCAGTCGTACAGGCTTGATTAAATATTTGTTTTTCTATAGAACACTCCTGCCTCTGTTTCTACCAGTTAGAATGAAAAGAATGATCTAAAGTAATATGAACTCTATAAATAAAAATTCATAAACACATTAAACATACCATCTCTGATTCAAATTAAACTCTAAAAATTATACAGAAAATGGAATCCAAGTGTCCTTTCAAAGGAAATAGGCATCATCACCTATATGGGAGAATCAGCCCTCAGTGGAATTCGGTTTGGAATGAATTGCATTGCTCTCCAGAGCTGCAGGTGTCATGCCGTTCATCTTCCCTTTAAGGGAGCGAAAGATCTAAGCCCGTGAGGATGATGTCTTGGATTTTCTGGTAAAGCCTTTTTCCTTTTCCTTTCTTATCAAATTTTTTTTTTTTTTTAAATGTGAAATTCTGAGTTGGAGAGAGAGTCTTCCATTGCTGGTTCATTCCACAGAGAGCTGCCACATGACAACCAAATCCAGGCCAGAAGCCACCAGCTTCATCCTCGCCTCCCGCATGGCTGGTAGGAGCACAGGTAGTTGAGCCATCTTCCACTGCCTTCAGGTGCATAAGCAGGAAGCTGGATTAGATGTGAAATAGCCACTACATAACCTGGCACTGGCATGTCAGTTACTGGTGTTAACCCAATGTGTCGCAGGGTTGGTCCCTCTCTATTTTCTTTACAAGCTCACTCTTGGCTAGGTGCTAAGAACACATGGAATACAAATAAGTAATCCCTAAAAAAAATTTCCCCTTTTTGCTTTCATTTCAAAATGATTCTTTCATTTCTAGAACTTAATGAAGACTAAAAAACTGTTCTTATCATTCTATAAATTAGATTTTTATAGAGTGTTTTATTTTATTAAATATTCATTTGTGGGCCCAGCGTGGTGGCATAGTTGTTAAGGTCCTCACCTTGCACGCCCGGGATCCCATATGGGCGCCGGTTCTATCCCGGCAGCCCCGCTTCCCTTCCAGCTCCCTGCCTGTGGCCTGGGAAAGCAGCAGAGGACGGCCCCAAGCTTTGGGAGCCTGCACCCGCGTGGGAGACCCGGAAGAGGCTCCTGGCTTCGGATCGGCATAGCATCAGCCGTTGCGCTCACTTGGGGAGTGAATCATCGGACGGAAGATCTTCCTCTCTGTCTCTCCTCTCTGTATATCCCCCTTTCCAATAAAAATATAATAATAATAAAATCTTAAAAATATTCATTTGCATAACTTATGTAAACTGCCTCATAAAACATTACTAGTTATAAATGTGTAACATTTTCTTTTTGATTTAGGAAATTCTTGGGGCCGTCAGGAAGCCTGCTCAGAGGAAAAGTCTACAACCAATCTTTATGAGCCCTGTTGTAGTTGTAATGCTTCTAATGAGGGTTGACATTGTCTGAAAATTGTGAAAGCTTTGAAAATTTAGATCCACATAAAAATCTCTATGTGGATATTGCTAGCAAATCTATTCACATGAGAAAGGAACTAAGATGATTTTCAGTAGAGAAAGAGATAAAGGGTATGCCCAGACAAGATAATATAACTTAGCATTAAAAATAAATAAGCTATTAAGCCATGAACAACTTGGAGGAAACATAAATGCCTATTAGTAACTGATAGAAAATTGTCAGGAAAGGTTATATACCATTTGATCCTTGCTTGATGACATTTAGTAAAAAGCAAGACTATGGACCCACTAGAAAGATCTTTGGTTGCCAAGGCTCTTGTGGAGAAAGGGTTAAATAGGTGGAACCCCGAGTACTTTTTAAGGTGGTCGAGTGATCTGTGTGCTACTGTAATGGTGGTCACATTCGTGCAGAGCTGGAGGGTGTTGGCCATTGAGAATGAAGCATGAAGGAGAGTGTGGTCTTTGCATACTGATGTTGTCATCCCCTGTAGCCAGCAACACGGTGATGTGGGGGACGGGGATACACCGAACTGTCTGTATTTCCTTAATTTTGCTGCGAACCTAGCAGCGCTATAAAATGTAAAACTTATTATTGGAAAAATTTTTGCAGGTGTTTGTAATTAAGAAACCACTTACTATAAGAAAAAAAAAAAAAACATTTTGCAGGGGAAATACCCCAGACACTACTTGAATATTGACTCCATTAATTGTCAACTTGTGAAATATGACTACTCAGGGCTTCATCTATTTCATGGATAAACTGAACACATTGCATGCATGCATTTTTTTTTTCTTTTGGTAGGATTGCATGAGGAGCAACTGAGATAACCTGCACTGGATTCCATGACTGGTAGCAGTTATTATTCGTAACATACTCTGAGCGGGGAGCCAGAAAATTGCCCCTTTACACCAGGGCAAGAAGGAAATGTGCTGGCTTCTGGAAGACTCCAGGAACTGGAGGCTCTTTGGAGTCAATGAATAAACATTCGCTCTTCTTAGAAGCAGTGCAGAGAAGACAGAACAAATTCAAACTGGCCTGCCTCAAGTAGAATATGTTGTGAAATGTTATCCATTCCTCTAACACAGAAAGTATGGGATCTCTTTAAGCAAACTGTTATTTAAAATATATATGTATAAATACAACATATTATATATAATGTAATATTATATATAATATAATATATATAACATATAATGTAATAATATATATATGGCCCAGCAGTGTGGCCTAGCGCTAAAGTTCTCACCTTGAACGTGCCAGGATCCCATATGGGCGCGGGTTCTAATCCCGGCAGCTCCACGTCCCATCTAGCTCCCTGCTTGTGGCCTGGGAAAGCAGTCAAGGATGGCCCAAAGCCTTGGGACCCTGCACCCGTGTGGGAGACCTGGCTCCTGGCTTTGGATCGGCATAGTACTAACCGTTCTGGTCACTTGGGGAGTGAATCATCAGATGCAAGATCTTCCTGTCTC